TATAAACACTAGGCCTACCTATATCAGATACTGAATAATAATATACGTTAAGGTACTTACATTATTAGCACTATTATTCACATATATAAATTGTTGTACACATTCACTACCAATCTTTACATCTAATATATAAGCAGTAAGAACACCCATATCTTCATCAGGATAAGACCAAGATACAGTAAGATTTCTACTATTGATGTTAGTTATATTTAAATCTTTAACAGGATCAGACCCTAAATTAAACATTATCATTAATTACATATAACACTTTTAATCATTCACCATCCTATTTTAGATCATAAACTCACATTATAACAGATGAGAGCAACTGCAATGCTCAGTGAAGACCCTTCTTGGCCATCAGAAAACTAAATATGTCAAAACAAACATAAAAGTTCATTTGGCAAGAGAATTCCATGTTGTCAATCACAAAGTAAGAAATATTTACAATTTGCTCTGATTTTTCATTTTAAACATCTTTATTTTTAATGTCACAAACATCATTGGAATTGGAATCTTTTTTGTACCAAATGCTAGATGTGTGATATTTTTTTACATTTTACTGTCTGACTACATTGAGCTCTGAATTGAATTTTTTCTCTCATTTCATAAATATTCAAAACTAAATTTTCAATCTTTAGCCATCGGATCCACAGAAATATGATGTTTAGTGATTTTACATTTAGAATAGAAACACTTCCCTCCAAGACAATTCATGTGAAAATGAACCATTTTTCGGACTGAAAATTCCTCTATGTAAAATCATTTTTACAATTAATATTTTTTTCAGTGGTTGACATTTTCATCAACCCTATAAACAGCAATAATACTGATAGTGTATTGTCTACCAGGTTGTAATGTATTAGCTGGTAGTGTTATACTATTAGTAGTTGGTTCTTGTGTAAAAGGGGTGTTAAGACCTGGTCCTGTTATTTCTACAATGTATTTATCTACTCCACCAGTTGGTTTAACAAATCCAATGTTCATTACTTTAGTAGTATCATAGTTATTATCAGAATTTAATGGTCCAGGTTTACCAGGATCTAGAAATAGAAATGATATGAAAATAATAATTTTTGTAATAAAAAGGGACTGAAAGCAAAGTAAAATTATTTTTTTGATATGGTATGTTTAAATCATACATTTATAAAATGTACAATTACATATACATGTATTGATTATGTATATTTATTATATATATCCCATCTGAACAACTAGAAGCTTTATCAGAAAGATAGACAAGGGATGAAGAATCCAAAAGGCTATACTATCTTGATCCTCAAAGTGTTTGAACATAATAGTGATAAGAGTCTCACTGTTTTTTAAATCGTGACTCTTGATTGGTTGGCCATTGATTACTATAAGACATCAAATTCAGTACCCCATTTAGTCAGTCAATCCCTATGCATACCCCAAGTCACTGCTCACATTTAGTTAGTTAGACAATAAAGCCTAGAATTGGTAGAGTTTTAAACTCAGAACGTATTTTCATCTGTGCTAGTTAAACAAGCCTAGTTCCTTGGTCCTGAGAACATTAATGAATGCCGAAATAAAACAACAAAAATTTTGGTTTTAGTTTGTACTTGGCAAGAAAAAATTGAATGTTTCCCTTTTGATCAAAAAAGCAAATTACACAAATTTTTTAAGGCATTATTTTTTTTTTACAAAATTCTTTCTTTGATATTTTCAGGTGATTCAGGATTGTGTTTTTGTGGGGTTTTTTTCTAACCAAAGTCTGCATACTATCATTGAATGATCATCATTTTTATGAATCAATATTGGATTCATAATGGATAATGATTCTTTTTAGTTATCTTTATAGCATAATTATAAGGCAAGGAATTTAGAGTCATCTTGCTTTGCTTGTCTATTGCAAAGGTTAGTTTTACAGAAATGGTTATCAAATCATGCGCATGGAAAGGTATAACAGATAATGTTGAAATTACATGGAAAATTCAAACTCTCATGTCTGTTTAGCATTTACAATATGATAATGTTACATTAACTAATGTATATCAAAATCAATTCTTAGTCCATACAATATGTCCCTGGTTACTCATTTCTTCTTGACTAATGATTAGACATTTTACTTGTTAATGGTATTATTTTGAACTTAAGATGTCTTCTACTTACTTGTTGTGTTTGATACGTTCTCTGATTTAACTTTATAATTTTGATTTCTATCAGTATTAACTATAGATATAACTTTAATACTGTACATAGTACCAGGTTGTAAACCAGTTACTTCACTAGATGTAGCAGTGTTATTTATACTAGTTTTATTTATAATACCATCTACTTCTATACTAATACTGGATATAAATTGACTATTGGATGGTAGGGTCCATGTAACTGTTGCAGTGTTAGTCTTTGGATATATACCAGCAATACTGGTTTTCAATTCTGTAGCTGTAATAAAAAAGATTCTACAAATTAAACTATTAAATCCACACCATGTTTTGCTGGTCTTCAATCTTGACAAAATAATTGATTAAGTATGATATTAAGTATGATATAAAAAAGGACTATCTGTAATCATGTGATCCATTTTTTCATGATTTCTTTTGTTTATTAAACCTTTACCAAAAGGAGCAGAAGATCAGGAGATCCACAAAGTTGAACTTGGTTGCAAAGATTTTTCAAAGTTTACGATTAAACTTCTTCTTGTTTATAAAAGAAAGAGCAAGAAGCATTGACTAATTCAGAAATCATGTGAAACCATGTCAGCTCTATGATATTGTGGGTAAAAGAAAAAAACAAAAGATTCCTTTTCAGGAAAAAATCAAAAAAAAAATCTGTATTATCTATAAGCTACATGATTTTGACCAACCTATTATCTTAAGGCTAGTCATTGTGACATGTAATATAAGTAAGTGCAGTGGACTAAACAGAGAGCATTTCAAAATAGAATCGGCTCTGTCAGTCTATAAGATCTTGAGATTGGTCCAAAATAACGTTTTCCTCATATTGACTAATTTTTTATTTGTGGACATTCTTTATCTGCTGACAGCTTATAACTTTATTTAAGTACTGGTAAGGTACAAAAGAAATTTGTAATTTTATTAGTTTTATTTCAATTTTGGTTATTAAAAGGTTCCTCTTGGTTTCAAGAAAGTTTATAGTCTAGAAATTTCATGAAAAAAACTTGGTACCAGGGCTTTTGATTTATTGTTTTGATAATGGGACATATGTAAAGGACTTGTAACATCTGACCTCAATGTAAAGGACTTGTAACATCTGATCTCAATGTAAAAGGCTTGTAACATCTGATCTCAATGTAAAGGACTTGTAACATCTGATATTAATGTCAAAGACTTGTAACATCTGACCTCAATGTAAAGGGCTTGTAACATCTGATCTAAATGTAAAAACTTGTAACATCTGATCTCAATGTAAAGGGCTTGTAACATCTGATCTCAATTTATACTCATATTGACAATGGTATTGGCAAATTAGAAGTAAAAAATTACTGTCACATTACAATTGGTCAATTTTAAGTCAGTATACCAAAATCCATTTTCTATTAAAATTTGTTTGAGACTGTAAAGTAATATGCAGTCACCTTACTACCTGCAACCTCATCATTTTGCATCATATTTTTTACTTGCAATTCACTCTATTTTGTTCAAAACTTAGGCCATAAAAGACTTGAATTAAAAGATTTGAAAGAAGTGGAAAATTTGTTCTATCCAGTTGTTGATTATCAATTTTGTGGGAAAAGAACACGATAAATGGCTCCAAGATAGATTCTTAATGTATTCCAAATAAAAATCTACAGAAAAGGGTCATGTTTATACTTAAGTCTTATTTTACTACAATAAAGAATCTATGGAATACGATCTATATACATCAGGACAGATAACAGAATTGTATTACAATTGTTGGACTGTATGCACTAGGGCTGCAACGATTCACCGTTGAATCGATGAACTGCGATTCGTTCCTTCTTATCGATCCATTGAAGAAGAAAAAAATAATCGCGATACATCGGCCCGATAATTTACTCCCTTTAATGACTAATAGCACGGAATCCTCGCGTATTTTAGAAATTGTGTCATGTTCAAATGTTAAAAAATTGCTTTTCACATATAATTTGTCTTCAGCATTTTTAATTTTTGTTATAAACGATGAAAAGAGAACATAATAATATGCCAAGTGGAAGATAAACGCATGGGATCTGATAATATGCGTTTGCATAGTCATAATATAATTCCACGAAGCTGTATTCGATACAGCGCTCTTGGAAATTAGCTTCTTTAGCTCAATACGTTTTTATAAAACCAAAATATACATGATCCATTCTCAAATACGCAATTTATGAGATCGTTACTTAACAACAAAACACAGAAGGACATTTCTTTGCTTTTTTGGTTCGAAAATCTATTTTTTTAAGTCTCTGGTTCTCAAGATCGTGGTTTTGAATGCCCCGGAAATAGAATATCGTGGAATATGTTATTGTCGATACATTTAAACATTGAAATATTTTATGAATTATTAGCTCGGAATCATCTCTACCGACAACGTCATCAATTAAAGTCAGACTAAAATTGAACACGCTGAGGCTAAGTATAAATCTGAAGTTTGGAAATCATTTGGTTTTCCCGTTTATTACGACGACAAGGGAGTGAGACACGTGGAAAGAGACAAAACGATTTGTAAAAAGTGTTTCCAAGTTCTGAAATATTCTGGTAATACTACCAATATGAATTCACACATGACAAGAAGACATCCTTAAGATATTTGCCAATGGTTTGGTATTTTATTTATTTTTTTAAAGGAATTTGTTAGTCCTTGTGTGTAACAAATTAATGATGAAAAGTGAAATTTGTACTTCTAAGCGTGCAAAAATAATTTAAACTGTGTTAAAATGTTATTAATTATCAGTTTTCTTTTTCTTTCCCTTTTAATCAAAGAATCGCAATTTATTATCGCAATAAATCGTATCGTTGAACGAGTATCGTTCAGTGTATCGGATCGCCACTTTAGGAATCGTTGCAGCCCTAGTATGCACCACATAGAATTTTAATCTGTAATGTAGTTAAAGTAAGGTAATCTATTTCAAATCTTAAAAGTTACACTTGACCATCTCCAACTTTTATTTCTAGTTTGAAAATGAGTAGAAAACCTATGCCACTATAAAACTACATTTAATGTATCAAAATAAACATTTATGTATAATTATGATGTTAAATCATGTAATTTTAGAGATTGTCTGGTAGTCTAAGACATGAGCAAGATCCTCATGAATCCTGTGAAGTCATTTTCCTGAGGGTTCAGATATAGGTCAGCCAAACCTATTGTCATTCTCTTTTTGCTTTTTTGTTATATAACTTACCATTATTACACTGATTATTGTTTGTATAGAAACTAGTTTGATAGTAATATTATTGTTACTATTTTATAATATAACTTACTATTATTACACTGATTGTTGTTTGTATAGAAACTAGTTTGATAGTAATATTATTGTTACTATTTTATAATATAACTTACCATTATTACATTGATTATTGTTTGTATAGAAACTAGTTTGATAGTAATATTATTGTTACTATTTTATAATATAACTTACCATTATTACACTGAATTGTTTGTATAGAAACTAGTTTGATAGTACTATTATTGTTACTATTTTATAATATAACTTACCATTATTACACTGATTGTTGTTTGTATAGAAACTAGTTTGATAGTATTATTATTGTTACTATCTATAATATATAACTTACCATTAAAACATTGATTATTGTTTGTATAGAAACTAGTTTGATAGTATTATTATTGTTACTATTTTATAATATAACTTACCATTATTACACTGATTGTTGTTTGTATAGAAACTAGTTTGATAGTAATATTATTGTTACTATTTTATAATATAACTTACCATTAAAACATTGATTATTGTTTGTATAGAAACTAGTTTGATAGTATTATTATTGTTACTATTTTATAATATAACTTACCATTATTACACTGATTATTGTTTGTATAGAAACTAGTTTGATAGTATTATTATTGTTACTATTTTATAATATAACTTACCATTATTACACTGATTGTTGTTTGTATAGAAACTAGTTTGATAGTACTATTATTGTTACTATTTTATAATATAACTTACCATTATTACACTGATTATTGTTTGTATAGAAACTAGTTTGATAGTATTATTATTGTTACTATTTTATAATATAACTTACCATTATTACACTGATTATTGTTTGTATAGAAACTAGTTTGATAGTATTATTATTGTTACTATTTTATAATATAACTTACCATTAAAACATTGATTATTGTTTGTATAGAAACTAGTTTGATAGTATTATTATTGTTATTATTTTTATAATATAACTTACCATTATTACACTGATTATTGTTTGTATAGAAACTAGTTTGATAGAAATATTATTGTTACTATTTTATAATATAACTTACCATTATTACACTGATTGTTGTTTCTATATAAACCTTCTACACCAAGCCGTTCTCCGTCCGGACCTGGCCGTGATAAAATGTGACCATTTACATTACAAAATCGACCGTGCCGAGAACGGTTCTCATTTGTGTAGTGTAAACGTTAACAGTTCTCGACACGCTCGTTTGTGGAACTCTTCTTAAAGAAGATAAAAACAGCCTTTCACGTTACCCGGATATAGCAATGGCGCTTGATATAATATTTTATCTCTTATTTTCTTTCTTCCTACGTCGTAGGAAAGTAAGAAAAAGTTTGGGTACGAGAGAAACCAAATTAATTCACTAATTTCTTCGTAAGTCCAAACGGTACCTCGGGCAGCCATTTTAGAATGTAAGTATGGTGAGGGAATTCCGCGGGAAACGGTCAAGGTCGCTTATGACGCATGCGCAGTAAACCGTTCTCAGAACGGTTACCGTTTACATTACACATTTTTATCGAGTTCGTTCTCGGAACCGTTCCGAGACCACCTCCCCGAGGTTCTCAGAACGGAATATTTTTGTAATGTAAAAGGGGTTATTGTTTCCACACATGTTTAGTTTTCTAAATCTAAAAAAAAATCATGTATAGAAACACACATTCAATGTAGGACTACTTCCATTTTTCATGATTTGCTTGACACTTTTAAATTGCTAGAGATGCTATAGTAATCACATAGATGACTATATTGAAAATATCTGGTTGATAAATGTTTGATTACATTTACATTTGAAAATGAAATAAAAATTATTAATTGATCGACAATTTCAATTTCTGAGGTACAAAAATCAAGAGGGGAAGAATAGAGCTAACTTTTTTTTTAATTGTATAACTTGGATGAATATATAAATGAATATAATTAAATTGAAATTTCTAGTGTTTTTGTCTAGACAAATAGAATAGAGTGAAATCTTTTAAACATGTTCTCATTACTGTAAGTTCCTTATTCCTGCTCATTACTTTAATCTAATCAGGACTGATAAATTACACCTGTAGGTATATTCCTTCTTTGCCTAGTCTAGTTGGCCATTATAACAATTGGGATGTCTAACCAATGGGATCAGGTAGATTTGTATATGTGTGTGAATAGAATATCAGCCTGTACAATACAATTCAATGAAATAAAACTAACACTTACTAGATGTAGTAAAATTGATAAAGGGTGGATCTGATGTTACAACTAGAGAAGAATTTCTGTCAGTTTTTACAACAGTTTCAACTTTTATATCTGTATATTGTGTATTTGGTGTTAGTCCAGCAATAGTCACTGCCGTAAAATTTTTATTCAACTGCGTTTTTTCAATATTCGGTCCATTTCCTTTAATATTAAAACTCTGTATAGAATCTTTTGTAGGAACTGTCCACTTTATAGTTACATTACTTGATGTTGCTGTGCCTTCTATTCCAACACCTGTAGGTTTAAGTCCATCAACTACAATATAAGGAAACATAATACAACATACATTTCAAAGAAGGTAAGCTGTCAATAGTCTACATATTGACGGTCTACATATTGACAATTTTCCACAAATATTCCATCGTTATATTTAAAAAAATACTACCTCTTAGAATGGACATGAAATTTAAAGTCTCAAACTTGGTCAATAAGAATATATACATCAGTTAGACTTACCAGGTGCCATAACTAAAGAATAGAATCTCTATATATAAGATGATATATCCATTAAACTAAAACACGCTTCTAAGCATGTTTTAAAATTAATTAGTTTAATGAATTATTACTTAGTTTAAGCATTTATTGGATTAAAGAGTTATTCGGCTGTATAATTACACTATGTAATTCCACTGATGAACAAAGACTCATTTCCGCCAAGTTAAAAAATTTCAATGTTTTGGTTATCCTACGAGGTATTATTCCTTTAAGTGATTAATAATTCATATAAGATAATAGTTAAGAAAACACAGGTGTTAATCAAATTAAGCAGCAAAATTTTGTACGGTGATCTAGTTATTAGGAAATTAGTCTTATTTCATACTCTTCATCTGAAAAATGACCAATCAAATTTTTTTTATTTAGTACGGTGATCTTGTTATTCAAACGGCCCTCGTGAAAATTACACTTGTGCTCTGCAATATATCACGGTAATGAATGGCCATTTTTTGTTACAGGAATTATGTCAATATTATCTGGTATTTCTGGTAATTTAAATATTAGAGGCTGGTCGTTCAGGACTACAGGTGTTTGTAAACAAAGTCAATGAAAGAAAAACTTTGTAAAAATACGGCTCCAAAATGATAATAAAATGTATAATTGGATAACCAATAGTCACAATATAGCATTAAATGCAAATGTAAGTGTGTCAGAATTCACTATTTGTTACTGAGTCAGATTCAGCTTATGGAAACTACTGGGGAGATTGCCTAATGCTAGTTATTAGGACATTGATCATTTTTCAAACTCTTCATCTGAAAAATGACCTCTCAAATTGTTTGATTTGAACTTGAATTGACCCTCAGAGTTTGAAAGTATGTGACAGTAAGCCATGATTTTAGTAATTTGAAATCAATATAAATATTTTTTTAAATATCAACTAAAAAAAAACATGACTAAAGTTTATCTAGTCCAGAGTAGATTTTACTCCAGTTGAATTTAAATCAAATTCAGAAGGAGGGCTAATCACCATTATAATTGTCATTACATGAAAAATTTGATTGTCATCTTTATCAAATAACCCTTACCAGCTAAACAAGTAATTTGGTTTAGTCCAATTCTATCTGAATAACTCTAGTTGATTCCACTAATCAATTACCTTATTTGCTTATAACCAGAAGTCATCAAAATACAAAAAATCTACTTTTTCACATGGATTTTGTGATGTTCCAATTTGAACTAGATAAGTGGCAGTGCCAAAACGTGCTCAGAATTTATCTGGATATTAGGGCTATTATGATTATTGAACTTGGTATAGCGTCATTACTGTGTTTTGATAAAGCGTCATTGAATCTGGATATGGTATTGTTTCATATTATACACCTAAGGTATATTTATAAGCGATGGCAAAAATTTGTCTATGCAATTATAACTGAATGTTAGAATCAAGGGCCTATTTAAAAAATATTTACATATTTTAGTAATCAAGTTTTGATTGGTTCATAAATTAAACTAATTTAAACTCAATACCTAAATTCTATTGTAGTTAAAATTTTGACAAACAAGCCTCCAGATGTGCAATATGAAAGAAAAATTAGTTTTGTAGTTTTGAATCAAGAAATATTCTATTTTATACCTGTTGCAGATAAAATATTTCCCAATATCAAGCAATTATGACTGATATTGGCCTATGAATGTTTGAAATGCTGTATAAACAAAATAAACCACACTATAATTTATGCTAAGCTTTGTCAGATAATTATTAGTTAGGTAGGCCTAAAACTTTTTGACCAACCCTTGTAATAATGCCTGGATCAATATGATGCTCACCTGAATTACACATGTTGTTATCTGTATAATAATTCTCATTACAGGAACATTTTGTCATATAACAACTACCATTTACAACATTACAAGAGTCTGCTGTGGTAATACAAGAATCACCATATCCTCCTTCTGAAAATACATATAATAATTCACCATTAATAAATTTCACAAACTAAACAGTTGATGAATCTCTTTGCTTCTAAGAGAATCTTTTTTTCACCAGTCTCTCAATTTCCCTGAAAGAATATATTTCTACAACAAAAATCATCTAAATTCCATTTTCTTACTATACAAGTCTATTTCAAAACAACATGTCTTTTTTCATATATAATCGTTAGACAATAATGTAATTATTTAGTGATAAAACTTATCTTGCAACCTTTTCTTAAATAAACCCCCCAAGAAATAACCATATTAAAAGCAAATTAAGTCCTTTGCTGGTATCATTAAATAACAATATCTCAATAATATAAGTATCCGGTAGTGGTTTTCAGCAATGCTTTTTTTGGCCATGGCCCCCCTCAGACTCTAAAAACATAGTCTTATCAAACTACTAATTGTAAGAATACAATGATATACAATAAATGTAATCAATCAAACTACTAAAACTACTACTGTGAAGTATAACTAATTGTATAAGTTAATAATATCACACAATGTAGTCAATCAAAATACTAAAACTATTACTGTAAAGTATAACTAATTGTATAAGTTAATAATATACAAACGTAGTCAATCAAAATACTAAAACTACTACTGTAAAAATGACTAATTGTATGAGTAAATAATACACAAGAAACGTAGTTAATCAAACTACTAAAACTATTACTGTAAAGTATAACTAATTGTATAAGTTAATAATATACAAACGTAGTCAATCAAAATACTAAAACTACTACTGTAAAAATGACTAATTGTATGAGTAAATAATACACAAGAAACGTAGTTAATCAAACTAATAAAACTATTACTGTAAAGTATAACTAATTGTATAAGTTAATAATATACAAACGTAGTCAATCAAAATACTAAAACTATTACTGTAAAGTATAACTAATTGTATAAGTTAATAATATACAAACGTAGTCAATCAAAATACTAAAACTAGTACTGTAAAAATGACTAATTGTATGAGTAAATAATACACAAGAAACGTAGTCAGTCAAACTACTAAAATTACTACTGTAAAGTGTAACTAATTGTATAAGTTAATAATATACAAACGTAGTCAATCAAACTACTAAAACTACTACAGTCAAGTAACCTAATTTCGTGATAACCTATATTAACCTGTTTGATAATTTACATGAGCGACCTTGGGCGACATCCGCATTAGCTTGTTTTGATAAACATGGGTTGTCTGCACAATATCAGAAGTAGAATGAATCCAGTAGTTTCAAGCAAGGTAAAATGTATTAATGTATACTTTGACAAATACAAAATGAAGGTTTTCAGTTATTACCAAACATCACAATTTTTTATCGGCCGAATTTCCTTACAATCCCAAGCGGTAATTAGAATTCCAAGTGTCGTCTGCTAGAATGTAGCGAATGAAGTCACGTGATCAACTAGCGGATTCTGTGGCAGCAGAAAATTTCTATGGAACACAAAGTGGACCATATTCTTATGTCGTTTCAGTGACTTTTAGCAATAAATCACACTACGTATCTTATTTTGTCAGTCACTATTTTATTTTTTTAAATCGTGGTCCTTTGAAGGAATTGTCACTAGTTATAATGAATTGATATTAAAGATAAATACTAAGAGAAGTTAATTATACCACCCATACAACGTGTTTTTCTAGATTTATTTATAGATCAAACATTGTACACGAAAATAGGTGACGCATTCTGCTGCCGTTGCCGAGTTGGTTGCTCATGAAATATGGGTCAAAGTGAAGGATTCATAAAGAAAATCGAAATAAACCAATTTTAATTATTTTGTAGAATATCTGAGGAAACATCTAAGACATAAAAAAAAATTCTTTTTTTAACTTTGACGAAATTCGGTGTTGAATCCTTATATCCACGAAAATAGGTTACACCACTGTACTGTAACTAATCGTATAAGTTAATAATATACAAACAACCTAGTCAATCAAACTACTTAAACTACTACTGTAAAGTATAACTAATTGTATAAGTTAATAATATACAAACAACCTAGTCAATCAAACTACTTAAACTTCTATTGTAAAGTATAACTAATTGTATAAGTTAATAAGAATAAACTAGTCAGTCAAAATACTAAAATTACTACTGTAAAGTATAACTAATTGTATAAGTTAATAATATACAAATGTAGTCAATCAAAATACTAAATCTACTACTGTAAAGTATAACTAATTGTATAAGTTAATAAGAATAAACTAGTCAGTCAAAATACTAAAACTACTACTGTAAAGTATAACTAATTGTATAAGTTAATAAGAATAAACTAGTCAGTCAAAATACTAAAATTACTACTGTAAAGTATAACTAATTGTATAAGTTAATAATATACAAACGTAGTCAATCAAAATACTAAATCTACTACTGTAAAGTATAACTAATTGTATAAGTTAATAAGAATAAACTAGTCAGTCAAAATACTAAAACTACTACTGTAAAGTATAACTAATTGTATAAGTTAATAAGAATAAACTAGTCAGTCAAAATACTAAAATTACTACTGTAAAGTATAACTAATTGTATAAGTTAATAAGAATAAACTAGTCAGTCAAAATACTAAAACTACTACTGTAAAGTATAACTAATTGTATAAGTTAATAAGAATAAACTAGTCAGTCAAAATACTAAAATTACTACTGTAAAGTATAACTAATTGTATAAGTTAATAATATACAAACGTAGTCAATCAAAATACTAAATCTACTACTGTAAAGTATAACTGATGGAACAGGCTGATATGATCATGGTATAATGAACCTACCAAATAAATAACATTAGTACAGTTTCCGGTGCAACCTCCGGAGTGCTTTTTCTGTACAGAAAGCCTCAAGGTGTTTTTATATCTATTCATACACACTCTAGTCACTGCACTCATTGCTGCGGCGACCTGATGCAGCGCTACAGTTAATGCCTCCAGAGCAAATTTGACATGGCAATGCTGGATGGGTCTGGGCCTATCAGCAGCCATTACCTAGAGGAGTCATTAACCTCGGTACATTCAAACTTAACCCAATTGGTCCTTCTGGAAAACTATACCGCATCGCAAACCGTGCTCTGTATGTTCAGTCCTTTACTCTTAGAAACAGAAGAGGAGTTTTGTTCCAGAGGAATGAACATATGCTGCATTGCTAGTGATACCAGCCCAGCACTCATCGACATAGACTTCTAGAGAACTTTGACTTCAAAGACACATCCATGTCAAAAATTCCATACATTCTATTTTATTTCACTTCATCATCATTAAATGAAATGAAAGGTGTTTTCTGCACCTATAGCATAGGTCTTATGAAGAAAGGCTACGCCATACAGTGTGCTATCAGGAAATTTGGTCAGGAAAGCGGCATTTGCCTACTATTATTCAATTTCCATCTATTGAGGAATTAATGTGCACAGTCTGTAGCACATGTGGCCTTGGTGTCCCATCAGAACTACTAGACACTTTTTCCATGTCAGCCCCTCTAACTTGCATCACTGACAAGATGAAACCAGGTTAAAAACTTATCTCAGAACCCATGCCAGAATTGAACCCTGTCCCCTCAGCTAAGAGAGTAAGTGTCTAACTTACTGAGCCACCATGGTTCCAAATCATTGAATGAAGACATGGACACCAGCTAAGTTCACAATCTTCAAGCCAAGTTTGAATAGATCTATAGTAACTGCAATTCATATTATTAATTATTTTTAAGAAATAAAAATCCTTTTTATTTCTTTTTAATTTTTTCTTCAGATATACATATGAATAAATTTAAGAAAGTAGATTGAAAACTACACTATATACAGCATTTTCAAGAACTATTTTAGGATATTCTGATGTATAATAGCCCTGTCACACCGGACTGTGATGGGGACTAAAAATGTACTTGGTGGAAAGTCCCTTTAAATATTTTAGCCACTTTCCATCTTAGAAATAATTTGGCATATTATTTTTAACAAAATTAAATTTACATAAAGCTGGAACTTTGTTCAAAAGTTAAATTGATATTGACAACAAAATTGACAAATTTTGGACTAGTAGCTTGAAGAATATAAAACTACATAATGTTCTGTACATGATTAATTGTATGAACTAAAAATCCTCATATAAATTCATCTTTAATAGTAGGCCTATGATAATGGTATAATAATATTCTACTAAATGTTCTCTACAGTAGTTTGATTAATTGAATGAGATAATAATCCATGATTACAAAGTGAAACCATTCTATTAACTTTAATTAAATAATTAATTGTATCAGTCATGATAAAATATCATTCATTTATTTATCTGTAATAGTAGGCCTATGATAATGGTATAATATTATTCTACTAAATGTTCTCTACAGTAGTATGGTTGATTGAATGAGCTAATAATTCATGATAACTAAGGAAAACCATTTTATGCCTTTGAAATATAATTATTAATTGTATGAGTTATGATAATTGTATATTACTATTCTACTAGATGTTATTAATTATATGAGTGATAATCCATGATAATGGTGTCATATTATTACTCCATGTTCTATACATGCTAATTGTATGAGTTTATAATCAATGATCACTAAATAAAATAATTCTATTCTATTTTCTTTAATATAATCAATTGCATGATTTTACGTTTCAGGTTTATTTTGATATTCTACTTTTCAATGAAAAATGATAATAGTATGAGTTAATAATCCATGATAATTGTATAAAAATCTTTCTACTGAATGATATGTAATTTAAATGAGTAAGCCTTGAACTAATTTTAAATTATGTGAATTAGACAGGTAATATGTATTTATTATAATAAACTTACTAGGTATACAATTATTATCATTATGATACTGAGTATTATCACAACCACAAGTACCCTCCATCTCAGTAACAGATAAACATGTCAAGTTACTAAGACATCCAGTGGTACTGGTACATGTTCCATTAAATCCTGGTTCTAACATATTAAAACAGAATGAGATACATTCTAGTTGTTCAAATTCAAACAATAGTTTTTGTCTAATAGTCTAATTTGCTGAAAGCAAAGTCACAGTTTGTTATCGAAATCGATTCTCACTTCCGGTTGAACTACTTCCGGTGTAATTAATTTAGCGTGACGAAACTTATATGAATCGATAGCCAAAGTGATGACAAAAAAACGAAGAATATAAAATCCGGTCCGAAGGTAATACTTTGGTCGCCATTTTGGTTTTTCTGAAATGTGTCAGAATCTATTCAGAGATAACGGCTTATCCGATTTTGATGATTTGGTGTCAAATGAAAGAAAATAAAAATTAAATAAAAAACTGTGGGAGCCGATTTTTGAATTTCGCTTTCGCTTTTTTGCAATTTCCGATTGAATTTTTTCGAAGTTTGAAGGCTCATATCTCATGACCTAGACATTTGATGACCTTGACCTTCATTGGGTCAAAGGTCTTTGACCTTGGCTATCAGCTGATATTTTCATATTCGACCTCTGACATCTACTTCTGTTTTTATGGATGTCTAAAAACAGCCAAATTCGCAAATTTGGACTGCTCTAGCACGTGACCTAATTATCCTAGAGGGTTAATTTTTTCGGATTCTTAATGTGCTCTTTATACTCCTTCTAACGATATATCACAAAAGTTTTTAAAAGCAAAATGGCATTTCGTACTTTTTTGATATTTGAGTGTTTTTTACAATATTTTTGTCTCTTTGAGCTTAGTGTATGTATATCTTTTGACCTATTTGATGTAGAAGTTTGAAATTTATAACACTACTAGACATTTTGAAAATGAATTATATCATGTCAAAAAAGTTCAGGTGGGCATGGCACATCCGGGTTAAATTGCTATTTGTTCAAATCTGGGGCAGGGGCATAACTTGCATAGTCTACATTTGTTCAATAAGGGACTTTGCACACAAATACCTCATCTCTTTGGCCAGATTGTGTTCAAAGGACAGTTGTTTCAGATTTATTGTTCAAAAAAAGGAACGGGTTTTAGAATTTCCATATTTTCATTTTTTGACATTGACCTTTGATGACCTTAACGTTTGTAGGGTCAATGGTCATTAACCTTGGTTATCTATTTATACTTTCATATTTTATGTCGGACGTAAGCTTCCGGTTTTGTAGTCGTATGCATTTTGAAAGTTTGATGAGTGATATCTCATGACCTTGACCTTTGATGACCTTGACCTTTATAGGGTCAAAGGTCATTGACCTTGGCTATCATTTGATAATTTGACATTTGACCTCCGACATGTACTTCCGGTTTTATAGCTGTCCGAAAAAAAACAAATTCGCAACTTTGGACTGCTGTAGCACCTGACATAATTAACCTAGAGGATTAATTTCTTCGGTTTCCTAATGTGCTTCTCATGCACCTTACATTGATTTATAACAGTCGTTCTTTTAAAGCAAAATTGAAATTCGTCATTTTTTTCAAATTTGAGGGTTTTTTTCACAATATTTGTGTCTCTTTGAGCTTGGTGTATGTACATCTTGTGACCTATTTGATGTAGAACCTTGAAATTTGGAATACATCTAGACACTTTGAATATGAATTCACCTTTGACACAAAAATTTATTTGGGGCGTGGCACATCCTGGTTGAATTACTAAATGTTTACATTTTTGGAAAGGGGCATAACTTGCATAGAATACATTTGTTCAAAAAGGAACTTTGCACACAATTACCTCATCCTTTTGGCCAGTTTGTGTTAACAGCTCAGTTGTTTCAGCTTTATAGTTCCAAAAATGGAACGGGTTTTAACATTTGGATATTTTCAATTTTCGATTTTGACCTTTGTTGACTTTTGTTTAACTATATCTTTTGACCTGTATTATGTATAACCTTGGCATTTGATACACGACATAACATTTTGAATATTAATTAACTTATATCAAATAAATGAGGTGGGCGTGGCACATCCGGGTTAAATTACTCATTATTGACATTTTTGGCCAAGGGCATGACTCACAAAGTATACATTTGTTCAAAATGGAACTTTGCATACAATTACCTCATGTTTTGAGCAGTCTTAGAAGTTCGGTTGTTCATAGTTCAAAAAAAGGAACAGGTTTTGGAAATTCAAAATCTTCAATTTTTGACCTTGACCTTTGTTGACCTTGACCTTTGTAGGATCAAACGTCATTGGCATTGGCTATCTATTTATTCTTTTATATTTGCTGTCCTTTGTCAACTTCCGGTTTTATAGTCGTGTGCAATTAGAAATTTTGATGACGTATATCTCTTGATCTTGACCTTTTTAGACCTTCTCCTTTACAAGATCAAAGGTCATTGACCTTGGCTATCTGCTGATACTTTCATTTGTGAGGTCTGACGTCTACTTCAAGTATTAGAATTTTCTAAAAAATGAAAATTTCTCAACTTTAGACTGTTTTTGCACATGATCTAATTATTGTGGAAGGTTGATTTTTTCAGGGTCTTTTGCAAATTGTTACATTTGCAAAGTCTCACTCTGTGCCACGTGTGGCTCTAGTATTTATTTCTTTTAGGAAATCTTTAAAAAAAAAAAAAAAAAAAAAAACAGAAACAGAACAAAAAGAAACTACACTATTTATTTTCATTCTACTTTTATTTAAAAAAATATAATTAGAAATTCTAATTTGCTGCTGAGACCACTTCAAAATGGGTGCTGCATTTTCAATCATTTGCATATATACATGTATACATTAGGACTGAGCAATTAATTAATTTGCATTTAATTTGGCCATTTATAGCATAAGCCATGACCATTAAAAAAAAACAGAGAAATTGCTATCATTTTCACAAGTCAGGATAACTTCAATTTCACAACAGACCATCAATGACAGTTCAATGATGACTACCATTTATTGGGTTTTCAACTAGAGACATTTTCTTCAGGACCTTTCAGTTCAGAGCCTAAGCAAATAAACAGTTTTAGGAGTAGTTTCACGATCTAAACAGCATTTTCAAGAATTCCTTTAACCATAAAGGACATTCTGTTTTATAAGAGTGAATTTTGACTTCCTCAATATCAAAAGCATATATGGAAAAATATCAATAAAAACTACAGAGATCTAAATGGTAAATTCTAGACAGCACTATATGTATTTTAATATAAACTTACTGGGTAGACAATTACCATTACCAACATGATAATAAGTATTATCACAACCACATTTACCATCAGTTGAACATGTCAAGTTACCAAGACATCCAGTGTTACTGGTACATGTTCCATTAAATCCTTGTTCTAACAAATTAACACATAGATACATTCTATAGTTATTCTTATCAAACAATAGTTTTTGTTCAATGAAGGTTTTGGATTATTCAAAATGATTTATTATCTAAAAATCTTATGAATATGTCATTATTAAATACTAAAATGATCTGTTTTCATGAATTTTTAAATTTGATTAAAAGTAAAATAACAAAATTAAAAAAAAAGAACTAAACAAAACAACAAAAAATTTATTTTCATTCTACTTTTAATTAAGTTAAAATAATTTAGAATTTTTAGAATTGATATATAAATTTGCTCTTTAGCCAAAATAGCTTCTAGATTTTAGAGGACAAGAACAAGAATTTTAATCATTAGTTTAAAGTTAATAATTGTATGTAAGGACACTGTACTTTCCTTTGTGTTTAACTATTTTGATGTATATAGGAAAGGAAAAGAAAGCACCATGTGGGCTAATGTAGACTGAAGAGGGGTAATGCCATGCAGGGTGCAATGAGTGAAATTTTGCCAGGACAGCAGCATTAGCCTGCTTTTTTTCAATTTCCAACTGTCACAGCTAGTAGCACATGGTGCCTCGGTTTTTTATTCCATCCGAACCAACGGTTTGAAAATCTGAAGGTATCATCTCGACTTATGCCGGATTTGAACTCTGGACCTTCAGTTTAGCAAGCAAGCATTGAACTCACTGAGCCAGAGGATCCCACGGAGGAAAGGAAAGGAGAGAAGGAACATTTACACACATGGTTTAACAGCTGTCAAAAGGGAAACATAACATGTTTGTGCAATTACAAGTTGGTTGGTGTCTCTCATCTACAATTCTATTTCATTTAAAACTCTAAATTATTTTTTTCAGTTTTTCTATTTTTCCCGAAATATCATGTTGGTTTCTCCAACCCAGTCTTCTGTTTGACCGAGCGAGGTTTTTTATGATAATTGCAGAAGAGCTGATTTTTAATGCTTATTTGTGAGGTTAGAAATTCAAAATTTGTGCTAAAAGCAATTTACCAATGACAAGAAAACTTACTCTGAACACAAGTATTATTACCACCATGATAATGAGTATTATTACAACCACAAGTACCATTAGTATCAGATGAACATGTCAAGTTACCAAGACATCCATTGGTATTGTTACAATTTCCATTAAATTCTGGTTCAAACAAATTAACAAATTCTAGATATTCATGTCAGTTTTTTGATTATTCAAAAGGAGAATATTATAATTATGTCAGAAAATCTTATTAATATGTCATTATTAAATACTTGAATGATCTGTTGTGAAGCATTTTTAAATTTGATTAAAAATTAAGAAAAAATTATAAAAACAGAAACTGAACAAAAGAAACAGCACTATTCATTTTCATCCTATTTTTAACAAAGTCGATTTTTTTATAATTTGGTTATGTAAAATCCAGATCCATGACTATTAAAAGCCAGAGAAATTTCTTTACGACTTATAAATCATAAAAAGGATAACTTCAATTTTTAAGACAGATCATCAAAATATATTCATTATATTTCTAACTAGAGATATTTTCAATATTAAATAGTAAAATAATGTATATAACTAGAAATTGCAATTCTAAAAACACAATTTATTTCTTTACATAAGCATCACTACTCAAAAAGTTGGGACTAAAATTCTTTATAACGTCCAGTTGTCTTGTACAACAACCTGTGCTGACCAGAATTTTCAAAGCAAACAAAAGTTTAAGAGAGTAGATTCACTTCTAAAAAAAACAATTCAAAGACATTGTTTAACCCTGAAGGATATTCTGGTTTATTAGAAAAATTAGCAATTATGAATTCAAACATGGTGAAAACTCATTTAACAAAAAATATGAAAAATCAAAAGAGAAATTAACTATTAACGGTAAATTCTAGACTATATTTATCTTAATATAAACTTACTCTGAACACAAGTATTATTACCATCATGATAATAAGTATCATCACAACCACATTTACTATTAGATAAACATGTCAAGTTACCAAGACATCCAGTGGTACTGTTACATGTTCCATTAAATCCTGGTTCTAACAAATGAACATAGATACATTGTAGTAATTCATATCCTGTATCAACTTAGAATCACATTAAATGTTTCACATTGACCTGGGTCAAAAAATATTAAGGTGTCCATTTGGTGAAAAAAACATGAGACATAAAAGCCCATGGAGTTGCACAAGTATAATAATGCCTTTTTTGCCATTTACATGTGCAGTCTAGACTGAAAATCAATGAAAAACCTATGGAGCCTAATTTCAGCTTCACACTGGAGAAGCAACACCGATCTTAGTTGATAATATATTTTTGATAAGTTGATTCTTTGTACATGAGAAAATGACACTACTAAGATTATAGCAATTCGTTTTTGTGCATTCATAGAAAAATAGATGTGTGATTTTCATTCTAAATTTGCATTCTGCTATGATGGAATTTACTATTGTGCATTCCTTATGTTCATAATATAGTAATAATTTTATTGAATACACTACTAATAATAAATGTATATCAATAATACACAAAATAATCTATCAGCATCTCAACAAAAAGAGATATTTTTTTTTTGTTTTCAAAACAATTGATTACATAATAATAAACCAATTACAAACCATACACAAATACAGTGCATATTAGTTTTTTAGTCAACAATTTCTTACTTATCTGAAAGTATTAACCATCTTTCAGAAACTTTATGGTCAAATATTGGCTTCACACTTCATTAGCTTTATTTAGGTGCACAACTCTTATCTACTGTGATATTAAAAAGCACGAAAATTTTAGAACAGCAAAAATATTGGATGGCAATTCAACTTACTAGTTATACAATTATTATTACCATCATGATAATGAGTATGATCACAACCACATTTACCATCAGTAACCGATGAACATGTCAAGTTACCAAGACATCCAGTGATATTGGTACATGTTCCATTAAATCCTGGTTCTAATAATTGTAAATACATGTATCATTGACTAAAATATGCATCTCTTGAGTAGCGATTAAAATATTTCAAGCAAAAAACTACAAATCTCTCAAATCTAATTTAATGGGAAATTGAAGAATAATTTTTGTATTTGATAATGTTGAAAAGTCTACTTTGGTTGACATGAAGAGGAAGTAATCCTTGTTTAATGAATTTTGATTTTCATAAAAAAAAAAAAATTGTACAAACTTTACTATTATTAACACTCTTCCTTAAAATTATAATATAAATATTTAAAAATATAAATTATGAATTGGAAAATGTTAGTTGTATTCTAACTAATCAATTAAAATCAAATGAATCATAATATTTTGTATTAATCCAAATCACTAATTGAATATAACTATCAACTTATATCTAGCTATAGAAACAAAAATAAGTTTTAGATACAGGACACAGATCCAAAAATCTCAAGAGATGTTCTCATAATTCAATCAAGATATTTGGCAGTGCAAAACAATACAAACCAAAAGATATCTGGATGAGTCTATAACATTTCATCACATTTTCTAAAACAGTACTGTTCTTAGGTTCATAACACAAGTTTATAACAATGATATGAAATTGTAGCACAGGTTAATAACTATGCAAATTAAGTAATGTAGGGTCTTAACAGAACATGGTATTCTTTGAAGTTAACAACTCAGTTAAAATTTAAGGTGAAAGGCATGAAATTGTGTCAAATAACTTAACTTCCACATAATATAGTGGAAGGAATATATGGAAAATATGCATATGATAGTTGTGTGATAAATAGAATCTTTCACTCTGCTTATGGAATTTAAATATGGCAACTCATTTCATATTACATAAGAACTGGGTAAGATCCTCTATATATTAGAAGGAGTTCCAGTGGTTTAAACAAGTTCACATTGTTATAAAAGACATCACAATGAAAGAACTAGAAATTCTAGAAAACAAGAATTCTTAAATAAATCAAATTAAAGATGATGTATTAAATTTCTTTTTAATCATTATCTTAAAAAAAACAAGACAATCTTAAATTTATTTAAATTGTTGCTGTAAATAGGAAGCATGTTGGAAGGAAGATAGGGGTGGAGGGCATGGGGAAGTGGTTTATGGCTGTCAAAAGGGAAACGTAATAATAATTATAATTTTAGGTATTATCTGCTTGTTTGTGCAATTAAAAGGTATTTGGTGTCTATCATCTACAACTATACTTTTTTAAAATGCCAAATCATTTTTCCCAAACTTCATAATGGTTAGACAGAGTGAGGTTTCTCTTATAATTGTAGATGAAGTGCTCTACATTTGCCTATTTATGAGGTTAAAAAGCATTAAAATTTGGGCTAAGCAATGTTATCAATTTCAAGAAAACTTACTCTGAAGACAATTATTTTCACCACCAAGATAATGAGTATTATCACAACCACAAATACCATCAGTGTCAGATGAACATGTCAAATTACCAAGACATCCAGTGGTACTGTTACATGTTCCATTAAATCCTAGTTCTAATAAAGGTAAATTTTTAATTTATTTCATAGATTTCAATTTATTAGCAGGTAAAATGTATAAAATTGTATGTGATATCTTGCGACAACTTCTACTACTAGAGATTAAAACTGGATAAAGTGATAAAATATTCTAAATGCCCATTACAGCGCTGTTCATGACAGTGAATATATTAAGTGGGATATACATGCAGTACACACAATGAGCTGCTCTAATTGATCTCTATCCTCAATTGAACTAAACATTTAGAAGACAATATTTCTTAATAATTATTAGCATCATTGCAATTAGCATAATTATCGCATCAACATACATGATCACACGATGTTTCATTAAAATCAATTGAAAACTGTAGTATCTTTAGTGTTTACGAACAAATTTTGACGCGTTTTTTCCTAAGTCAATGGCAATAACTCAAAAACCGTTCATCGAAAGATCGAATTTGACCAAGATCTCATCATTATAAATGATCACACAAAATTTCATTAAAATCAGTTAAAAGCTGTAGTCTCTATTGTGTTCACAAGAAATGTTGACGGACCGATGGACGTTTAACAAGATGCCTGAAAAAAGTGTTTTGCATTTTTTAATTCTAAAATTTGATTATAGAAATGAATGGCATGATTTCTTTTGATTCTCCTGAACTTGTAGATCTAATTGCTGTTTATGTGGGTCGAAAACATTTTTTGCTCAAATTCGTAATAAAGTTCATTATGCTCTTTGCAGGCTGTTAGAAGTAAAATAAACGCCTTATTGTAGAGAAATATTTCTCCTACGTTTTCTAAAGATTTCAACTAAATATAGTGAGCCATTATAAAGCCAATCACCGAAAACCCGTATAAACTGCTTAATTAATAATAAGTACTCTCAGTTTTTGATTAACCCTTTTTAAACAAATTCAGTTTGATCAAGTAGATACATATATATAAATAGCATACTTTAGAAATATTTTCAGGTATAATTTACGAGGGTTTTGAAAATGAAAATGTTTTACAAAAAAGCAGAATCCCCCTTAATGAATACCTACAAAACTGGTTCACTTACATATATAGATGTAGCAATGAAGCCTTTTGCCTTGCTTTTTGACATCCTGTCAGTGAAAAGTCACCTAAAGACAGCATTTCACTCAAGAATGAACATACCCACTTTGAAATACAGTTGTGATTTTCTTAGTTAGTCTCTTGTCCATAAGCGGTAATAACTTATACTTAGTTATCATTTTCATAGAAAAATACATAAAGCTAGAACTCCTAAATATTTGAAGTAAATAATCATATTATTATATAAATTATTATATTATTAAATATTTGGACACTGAATGTTACAGATTTTAAAAGCTACATTTAAAAACATAAGGAAGGACTTACTTGCTGTACAAACTCCACTAGAATCATAATAGTCAGTAGTACAATTGCATTTATCATCGACACATTGATATCCTGTTTCTGTAGGATCACCACCACATGTTGTAACATTACCTTCAGTACAACCATCTCCAACATTACATGATACCTGAAATAATATAATAGAGTAATTTAAAGGCAAATATCATAATAGTAAAAATCTACCATAACCATCACTTGCAAAATTAAAGTTTCATATGTTTGTATGAATACCAAGGATCAAATCTGTAGGTCTAGAATTAAACTGCCCTTGAAATAAAAACCTGAGTGTTTGAATTCTAAAATTTATTGAACTACATGCTCTTGATGGTATTTAAATGAAGCTCAAATAAATCTTAAATGTTTGCATTTCAGGTAGCCAAATAATTACTTAACATAAAACGTTTCGTCACTAGAAAAAATAGTGTCCACTCTACAATCTTTACAATCACTCTAAGTGACAAGAACTGACATAATTTATAAAGAATTGACAGAACACTTCAATTTAATGAATAACAGGCATTAACGCAGACACCAGGCTTTTTAATCCATTTCCATCTTGAATGACCTGGCCATCTATTCTCGAAACAATCTTAGCGCTAGGATGTCCTAGGTTCTTATCCTCTTACATTGATTCTAGGGCTAAGATGGTTTCAAGAATACGTGGCCAGGATGGCAAATAGGCTTGTTTCAATGCTCTATCAGTGATTTGGTCTGCAAGATTTGTTTCCTCAACGAGATATTGACAGATCACATAGTATTATCAGTGAACAGTGGCATTTGTGATGGAAAATTTGTGGCATCTTCACTTTGTACTTATATGGATACAGCCATTTAGAGCCCTTGACAGAAAGGCTAAAACATTACGGCTTTTTGTTAAAAGACTTTCTGCTGAGGCCTCTGATTAGCTGTATTTGCTATCGTACAATCCAATCTTCCATGATACAATAATAGTGGCTATTGCAGTCAAGGTGTAAGTACCAAGTTTGTAATAACTTGATATTGTGAAGATCGACTTTTAGATGCCAATGAAAAACTCTGCACTCGTTTGGTCATTTTTGGGCTATAAAATGGTGGTTTGTAATATATAAACTAATCAAATTAAGCTACATTAAGAATTCTGGTTGTTTCTGAAGGTGACCTTTCTTTTTGTTCTCTGATGTTTGGCTCAGATTCATACTTTATAGACCAATCATAGTTGTCCACTCTTCATTCCAAATTATCAAACACAGTAAGAAGTAAACACAAAACAAAAAACTAAATTAACAGTTATCATTATATCAAGATTCAGACAGGCAAAGCCATGCAGTGTCCAATAAAGGAAATTTTGCCAGGACAATGACATTAGCCTTCCAATTGTGGAGGGATCTTTAACGTGCACAGTCTGTAGCACACATGGCCATGGTTTATTTCCCATTCTGTCTAACTCTCCTACATGCATCACTGACAGGGGGAAACCAGATTGAAAAATCCAACGGTACTATCTTGACCTATGCTGGGATTGAACTCTGGACCTTCAGGTTAACAAGCAAGTGTCTAACTCACTGAACCATCGCGGCTGCCAATGCTATTCCGCATCGATAACCAGTACATTTTGTGTTAAGTTCCTCGATTTCAAAACGATATTTTACAATAATGTATAAAGGATATAAATTATCAATACATGAAGTAAATGTACAAAAATAGTATATGCACATGAAAACAAAATCTACAAGGAAGTAGGAAAGCAAACAATCAAACAGGGCGTCAACTTTAAGATAGTTATAAAGAAATACCAAATCATATGACAACGATAATGCCTTTCCATACAGACAGCTCCAATATATTCTAATATTTAGACACGGAAGTTTTGACTCATAACTACAAAAGAATATGCTACATAAATATGTGGAATATAATATTACAAGTTGTAATTTACAACTATCAGTAACAATATCTACACAACTCCCAAATAATTATCTATCAAATGATCATGTCAAATTTTGACAAATTTAACCCTAGAAACCCTACATACCATTCAAAACATTTGTCAAAAAGACAAGTATATTCACTCATATTCGTTTGTCTCCACAATGCCATGCAATATGCTGTATACTTAAAGATGGGTTCCTTTATTATCATTTATGAAAATGAAAATGCTAATACGAATATGAATAGAAAGTAGAGGTGTTCTAATTACTTGGAAAAATACCAGTATAAAAATAGTCTTACATGTCCATATTTATTCATAATTAACTAAATTAGAAGAGAATTACCATCAGAATTCCAATGAGTGACCAATCAAGAAATGTACATACATGGACATCTATGATTGGTTAAAACTCTTAATTATTTGCAATAAGAACCTAATGATATGATTAAGAATGTGTGATAATTCATTAGAAACACCAAATCACCAATTAATAAAATAGTTCGCTTAATTTGACACTAAAACATAAAGAAACCCATCTTTAAATGCAAAATTAAGCCACAACAATGACTATCATTGCGCAACAGCCAAATTTCCAATTATCTTCAAATTTTCACATTCTTACATGTTACAATCATGTGATCAATATAATGAGGAATTAAAGAAGAAGACTCCGGAAGACAAAAGGAATAGTTCCATTCAAATGAAGAAGATTCAAACAAGAGTTGTCCAATTGTTCCCATTGTTTGAGTCAAAGTCAAGGCATTGTAAAAGCTTGGAGCTATATGAATTGAGAATGCCAAATTCTTTCTAACATATAACCTTTCACATTAACCTAAAGTCAACCTCTATCAAACTATAGTTTAGACAAACTTTGAAAAATAATAAAAGCTAAAAGTTATGTTTATCATACTTATCAATGATATGGAAGTAAAAATATATCAAGTATCTATTGATGTTAAATCATACTTCTCTTTGACTTGTCAATTGACAATCATGTATTAGTGTACTGCTGGTAAGACTACAGGGATTAATGCCTGCTTAAATCGGGATAAAACATTCAAATTTTTAACCCAAATTAGTGCTGACATAGACAAAAAATAGCATCAGGTTGTTCAGATGGGATAGTAAACCAAAGCCATTAATTTTGTGCTACAAGCTGTCTATATAATGCTGGGTAACAGCAATCATGATACATATCGTGATGCAAGGGTCACGATATGATAGATATTGCGATATGGGGTAAAAATTTTACACGTCTACCAGCTAATAAATGAATACCAAAATTTCAGTCAAGTTGCCGACTTGAAAGGTATCGTCAATTATCGATAAACGACCTAGCAATATGATACCTGTATCGTGGCATGAAGTATTGTGATACATGGATTCATCCATATATCGTATCAGCACTATCTGTACATGAAAGATTCCAAAAATTGGAGTGATGTCCTTCATACGAATGAAAAGTGCTGGAAATGGATACTTATTGTGCATTACTAATTTGATAAAGAATAAAATTTTAAAAATTAATCCTAAAGCATATTGTCACCCTTAGATGAGATAATGCCAAAAGCAAAATATAACAAAGATCAAGGTTCTATTCAAAAGGCGTCTTTCAAAATTTTCAGGGATCTTTAACATACACAGCCAGTAGCACTTCTGGCATATTATACTGACGACTTTATTCCATAGCAACCTACATAATGTTATGAGTAACATCATACTTTAATATCATTAATATAAACAATTGTGATTCAATAGGGGGGTTTAAAATTGACCTATATACATAAATCATTTTTTAAAGTGTTATGAAAAAGGAAGTAAATTTTTCAAAACCTGTTTAGATTTTGACACAAATAGATTACAATGAACAAGGAAAATTCTATTCAGTCCTTAACTGCATGTAAGCCCTTTTATAATATATAAACTATAAGGATAAGAATATACAAAACACAATGTAGTGAATTGCAATCAGACTCATTGGACAAAAATCAGTGCAATTTAATAGGGCTGTCTGATTTTTTAGTAGGTTCGAAATTTTTCTTAAAAACCAAAATCTGGAGAAATTTGTTCTTTAACTAATCTGAAAGTTTCAACTGAAAGTATTTTAATTTTGAATGCGAAAATTAGTTAAACGTCACAAAAACATTTAAAATTCATTATTTTTTGATAGGTGTCCGAAGACTATTGTATGAATTTTAGCAAAATAAACGTCAAATTGTTGAGAATATATCTTTTACATATTCTGCAAGTTTCAATTAAAATCATCAAGCCTCAGGACCAATAACAATGGATTACTAAACCATAATTTGGCTGGGTAAAATAATCGCTAGGAATTTATAATATGGATTATCGATTATCAAAATCAATGTTATATTTTCTCCTCTGTACCCGTTAACAAGTCATAATTTCTTGCAGTGCATAGTTTCCCTTCAGTATATCACTTACCCACTGTTGTATCGTAAGGACGGTCAAGCGTAGCATAAGCAGGACAGGAAGAATCGAATATAAACAAATAAACTTTAATCATCAAATTCAGACATCATGGCGGTTACATACATGTGTGTACTACTTTCTTGTATTCATACGCATCATAGAAAAACATAGTCCATAAAGGAAAAGCAACTCCAATTAAGTATACGAGTGAGATTAATAAGCAATATAACATATCCCCCTCCCGAAGATTGATGCTCAATCTATAAGGAAAATAATGAAATACAATGTAGCAATTGCAAGAGAAATAACTTAAACTGAAATGCATAACCTTTGCAAAGTTAACGTTGAAATCAATAGCATGCAAATTGTAAACATCAATAGTAAACGAAGTCTTTATCCTTGGTATGTGTTGATACTCGATTAGATTTTCGAATAATATCACTATTAGATGCACAATTTGAACTAGTATTATTATGACTAGTATCACTTTTACTTGGCAAATTACACAAAGATTAATGCTTAGAATTCCAAATTTTTCAATCACTTAACTTATATGTATTATCACTAACTTTCTTGATAACTTTGAGTGGTTGTGTATATCCAGGATTTCCTTTTAGAGGTTTTATAGGTTTACGGATACGAACGTAGTCACCCGAAGCAATATTCGAACTCTTACAAGCACGATGAGAATCAGAATACGTTTTCATAGCACTTTGCTTATGTTTAACACGTTCACGTACGGTTTTATCACTTGAATCACATAAATTAGCAGGTTGAAGAACATGTAGTAAGGTTTTCATTTCACGACCATGCATTAGATCTGATGGAGCGATACCAGTAGTAGCATGGGGCGTAGCACGATATATAAACAAGAAATTTCGAACAGCAGATTTCCAAGGTTTCTGTTCAATAACGGCAGATATAACAGCATCTTTGAGACATCTGTGGAAACGTTCGAGTGCACCATTACATTGCGGATAATAGTTAGATGTTCGTAAATGAAAAATATTACGTTGTTTCAAATAATCTTCAAAGTCTTGAGATACGAATTGAACACCATTATCACTAAGTAAATGATTAGGATAACCTTCTCTTGAAAAAATTGTTTCTAGAAACTCAAGCACATTTTCAGTAGTTATGTTAGGCATAAAACTGAATAATGATCTATCAAAGTCACAGCATAGCGATTTTGCATTGAAGCACTTTGAAATGGTCCAACAATATCAATAGATACACGATCCCAAGGTTCTTTAGGAAACGGTATAGGTTGCATAGGTGCAGTATGTGTAGTAGCTGTCTTGTCGTGCGACTGACACGTAACACAGGATTTTATTGCAAGTTCTACTGCGTTATCCATACAGGGCCACCAATACAGCAAACGTAGACGCTGTTTAGTGCGGACAATGCCTTGATGACTCTCGTGGGCAAGTTCAATCAAGCGTGGTTGTAAAGATGCTGGCACAGCGAGGCGATTTTGTCGAAAAATCAAGTTGTCCTTGCAGGCTAGTTCATTACGAACGTTGTAGAACGGCAAAAGTTCCGAAGGAAGAATTTTCTTATTCGGCCAATTGTCTGCGATTTGTTGACGAACTTTTCCAAACAACTCAGACTGTTCACTTGCAGCTTGTAGTTCAGCAGCAGAAATGGCTTGTAATTGACTATCTATGATGGCAATCATTTCCGAGTCAAAATCTTCTTCTTTCGAATCAGAGTGAGGTAAGGGTAGGCGAGACATACAATTTGCAACAACGTTGTCTTTACCTTTTTTGTATTCTACATCAAAAGTATACACCATTAGGCGAGCAGCCCATCTGGAAAGTCGCATACTTGAATGACCAAGACCTTTCGAAGTAAAGATAGTCTTTAAGGGCTGGTGGTCAGTGCGTAAAACAAACTTACGACCCCATAAGAATAAACGCCATTTTTCTATTCCCCAAACAGAAGCTAGGGCTTCTTTTTCAATCGTCGAATAACGTCGTTCACATAACTTAGAGTGCGAGATGCGAAAGCAACAGTACGTTCACCAAATTCCGGATGAAGTTGAGTAAGAACTGCTCCTAAACCGTAATTCGAAGCATCAGTAGAGATGTAAGTTGGCAATGTAGAGTCATACGAAGCAAGGATTGGACTGGCAGCAATAAGTCCTTGAAGTTTGGTAAAACTCTTTTCAGCTGAATTATCCCACAGGAATTTTGTAGAATTCCTGGTTAACCGACGTAAGGGTTCTGTTATTGTACTGAAATTAGGA